GCCATGTAATCCTATGTGTGCCGTGGATGCCTCAATGGAAGCCATGCATATGGCTGCAGCTAGGGGCAACGGAGGTCAGTGTGCCAGGAGCGCTAGGAAGGAGCAGCTGCTGAACTTTTGAGAAACGCTGATTGGACATTTGGTGGGCGGGGGAGGGTCGGTAAATCAACAAGGAGAGGGGAATTGTGCAGGCGTGTGGGTCAGCATTACGGTGAGGGAAAACAGTTATGAATATGCATCCCCGCCAATTAACGCCTTTGCGCATAATTGGCGCCTTGGAAGCTTTCAGAAATAACTTGAGAACCATTGATCCACTTTCTGAGCAGTGACAGGGCTGGATTAAGGGATGCACTCAGCAAATATTTTACGTATGGTGACGGCAAATCCAATACCATTCTAATTCTTGACTGCTGACAGTCTAACAGAAAGTTTATCCTCACATAAGTCTTGCTTTTTAAAAAAACGAGAAATCAAATGATTGAATCACCAAATGAGGTTAGCTCATTTGCGAATCCACATTCATTGTACGAGCGGGGAACATCCGGATCGAAGTATGTGGCGCTGCCTCTAAGGTCTCCGTAGAGAGCTGCTGAACTCCGAATTAAACAAGCTTACTGGAAAGTTACCGGAGGCTTCTCAAGGGAACTCCTATCCTGACTGCGCCTGCCTATGTTTCAATAAACAGGGAAAGGGTCTAGGGCGCGCGTAGCTGCACCCCCTGAGTACTCCGAGCATTCGCAGCTAGTTGCACATGGCATCTAGCGCACAGTCACACACCGTTGCGGCGTCCTGTAACTACAAAACACGACTCCGCAGCGAAAGAGATATGCGACCAGACAAACCAGTGCGTAAATTTTGAGCTAGCGCTTCATCAAATATAACGAGTGTGACGGAAAGTGTGTGCGCGTAGTGCGTTTCGCTGTACCCCGCCGCTATCTGCAGCATGCTATGCCCGGTGAAGTCTCTGCTTGTTGTTAGTGTTGGTGCTCAGCCCGCACAGGCGGTTATTTTGGCAGCCCCAAGGCCGAATGAGCAGCTTCGTGTGCGTTGTAGAGTGACACACAGTAAAAACCCCTCAGTGCGTAAAACCACAGACACGGCACGTCGAGGTGGGTTGTTCGGCATGGCAGGGACGGCCTCTGATGCGTATCGGCCACATGGCTGATGAGGCAGTCTCGGTAGCACAAGTCTTTGCTGCTGTACCATTCAGGATAGGGGGGATTCTTCACGGCATAGACCTTCGCTGTGTGTGCGCGTGCGGCGTATGCATGAGTATTTTTTCATGGGGCTGTGTTTGTGTTTGCAGGAATACCGCGCGCAAGCCTTCGATCGCGCGGCTCCCCCACGGGCCATTTCTAAATGCGGAGTTGAAATTAATAAGAGAGCGTCAGTAGACCGTATGCGAGAGCATCTTGCACATTGGATTTGTTGTTTGGCAATGCGGCTGCTGCAGGCAGCCCCAGTTCAGGTTGGGGCCTGCTCTGGCCATGTGGGGCGTGCGGCCTTCTCTGTGCGCCTGGCGGCTACGGGCGTGGCACTCGTTGTTGCCGTTTCCCATGACTAAAACGGATCCCCTTCTGGTTTTTCCGACTTTGGCCTTCGAATTTCTGCTGAAGGAGATCAGAAAAAGCCACGATGGGCCGCATGTACGGTAACGGCAAGGGTATGAGCGCCCCGGCGCCGCCCTTCAGGCGTAGGCCCCCCAGCTGGCTCAGGGTGAAACATCAGGAGGTTGAGGAACACATTCTCAAGCTCGCGAAGAAGGGCCAAACGCCTTCTCAGGTCAGAAGCTTTCGAAGCTGCGACACTCACATGCGCGAGCAAGCAGAGCGGCGGCAGCACAAGCAGAGGCCGTGCCCGGAAGCTGCCCCCGGCTGGCTGCTGCACCTGCCTGCAACTCCTGGGCAGACACGGCAGCTCCTGCTGATTGATTTGACGGGTGTCTTCTGATGCCGACCGCAGTGGCACCCCCGCTTTCTGCAATGGCTGGGCTGAACGGCTGCAGGCCCCAAGTGGCCTGCCAACGCCGCGTTTGGGGAAGGGCGCCGTAGGGGAGAGGCTGCTGTGTAGATCTCAGATTCATGGAGATGGACGGGAGAAGGGGTGGGTGGGGTGTTTGCGGAATGGGGTCGGCTTCTTTTGTCGCTCGAGTTCGGAGTGTCAGGGGGGGCCTTGTCATAGCCTTTCTACATCTCCTGCTCGAATATGATCCCCGGATGAATGGGGAAGCGCCGCTTTTCGCAGCCTCCAGCTTTCTCGTCTGGCTGGCAGCACCCTCGCGTCGCTACATTTCAAGTCTCGAGCTCCCTGCTTTCTAGGCCACTTGGGTCATCCCATGGCTCTTTCAAGGCGCTTGACGTTTGTTCCTTGTCAGAGAAAGGTGTCATCACCTGTTTCGCATGCGTTTTTAGTCGGTCTGAATCTGTGCATCCTGCGCCTCCGTGGTAGTTCCAGAGTGCTCAAGCCTCGGCTGCTCAGCGCTCATGTTGCTCATGGATGCGTCCCTGCACCTCTCCTCTTTGTGCAGATCGGCGTGACACTGCGGGACCAGTTCGGTATTCCTCAAGTGAAGAGTGTGACTGGCAGCAAGATCCTCCGTATCCTCAAGAACCAAGGTACTTCCGACGAACGAGAGATAGACCGCTTGTTAGAGCCAGGCCCATCCCGCCTTTTCCTTGGTCATGAATCTCTATGCTTCCTGCTGTCTCAGTTCATGCATCCGTGTATGTATGTATGCGCACCCTTCGGGGAGTCAGGGGATAGGGGCAAACAGGAGTTGCATAGTTGCAATCCTGACTTGCAGATCTGCATCATATCGTCTCCCCCGCGTTCGTCCCTCTGGCCCCTCTGTTACATACGACTTTCCGGGGGTAGTCATGAGGCGAGCTTTTTAGAGTTGCGCAACTTAAAAAAACTCTTTCTGCATGCAAACTGATGGGGGGTTGAGTTGCTTTTAGTGCAGCCTCCCAACCTCGCATGCAAGACGCATCCTTATCGGAACTCGAGATTTAGCGCGGCGCGACTTTTTCTATAAGTGCCACCGCCGCCGTCGCCCTCGGGTGCATTGTCTGGGTTGTTCTGGCAGACTTTCTTGCGACTATCTGCTGGAGCTGTCATTTTTCTGGATCTGTGTTGTTGCTTGGAGTCTGGCCACGCTTTCTTTTTTTCATCCTCTCGAAACAGCATGTGACGCGGGCTCAACTATGCGGACGGCACATTTAACGTGCGCGACTGATTTGAATTTCTCAGCATGGGCGCCGTGGCGTCGATGCGTGGGAGTGTATCTGAATATATATATATTTATTGGTCAATCTTTGTGTCGGTGTGCACGTAGATGTGCATCTGTGGGTGCGGTGGGCGTTGTGTTCTTTTTGAATTTATTGCTTTTTTGTCTAGCGCCAGCGTACACAAAAAGCGCGGCGAATCTCAAGGGGCCGCTCAGACGTGCGCATGATTTTTTCTTGCACCTTTTTTGTTGCCTCAGGCGTTGCCCCCGAGATTCCGGAGGATCTGTACTTCCTTATCAAGAAGGCGGTGGCCATTCGGAAGCATCTTGAGAAAAACCGAAAAGATCGTGATTCCAAGTTCAGGCTGATTCTGGTGGAGTCGAAAATCCACCGGTTGGGTCGCTACTATCGTCGCACCAAGCAGCTGCCAGCCACATGGAAGTATCAGAGCTCAACGGCTTCTGCCTTAGTGGCATAGAAGAAGCCTTTAAACACGCCTTCGTTTCTCCTGAGCGCTCGCGCGGTCTCTTGCGCCCTCTTTTGAGTGTTTAGGAGGCAGTCTTGAGGCATATACATTTGCAGGCATCTTGCGCGCGCATACAGCAGGAGGGCTTGGCTGTGGGGGGAACACGGCGCACACGGGAGAACTGCGCATTTCTAGTACGGATAAACCCCAGAGTGGTGTGCAAGCGGGTCTTTGCATCGGGGCGTAGGCGCGTGAGAAAGAAGGAAACGGAAAAGTGGGCAGAGAGGGGGTGCAGCTAGCTGCACAGTAGGGAGGGAGAAGAAGACACGAGACAGATGTGGCGAGCAGTGACAGGTGGGCAGTTTTTTGGTAGGCAGATACTTGTGGAGTGCGGCGAAACGATGGGGTTGCCACCTAGCGACTTGGCATATACAGAAAAAATGTAGAAGAGTGGAGCTTTGAAGTGAGCGAACCGGGGTACAAGACGCATGACTGGCCGCATTTATTCGCCACCTGTGCGGCGGCAGGTGGCACGTAGGGTCTGGAGCTTCTCTCCAGGCTGCATAGCGGCTGCGTAGATAAATAAAAGTATATATATTTAGGCGCTTCGAGAGTCCTTTAGCGCGTACACTCCAGTCTAGGCAGTGCCGAAAGTGGATGTGTTAGGCCTTGTTTGAGGCGCGGATTGCTGGGGCGTTGGGAAGGCGCACAGGAGGCGAGCCGCACGTCTTTGCAGTGGGGATATGACTATCGTATCTCGACCCCACGCTGCGGCGTATGCCTCCTGCCACCACCTTCCGGATCTTCCTTTTGTTCCTTCCTGCTCCCTGCTGCGTGGCCTCAAATCTGAGCCTTGGAAGGAATGCTGTTGCGCCTTCTGTGGATTAATGGAGCAGGCGGAAAGTTGCGCTTGAAGAAGACTGGTTGCCACAGAAACCGCAATAGTAGGGAACCTCTTTATTCGTTTTTCCGTTCGTGTGTCGTGATTATTTTGAAGTCCTAGCTCAACCCACGAAGGCAAAATGTGGCGTTCCTGGATGTGCCAGATGCTTCGTCCAACAAGCTCTGTATGATCAGAGTGGCTAGAAGGTGCAGCTAAACGCCCCTAAGCTCGTTCTCGCCCCTCACGTCGGGGGCTCTCGGGGATGCGGGCGGGCACAGGGAAAGAATGAAGCTCGTTTGGAAAGCACTCAATGGCGTTTTCTACTAACGTTTACACTGAATCAAGCAGGAGTGAGATTGCTGGGAGTTTGGGGAAGGCGTGCCACACTTTGGGAGGAATCTGTGTTATAGCCGGCTTTTGGTGGCTGTGCTGCTGTGCTTCTAGCGCTCTACCCTATCCTATTTTTCGTAAGAGTCTTCTATGAGGTCCCTCCCTAGAACTGCGCCTCCTCTGTGCTGCACAGCCTCTTCCTGGCTGGTCTCGTCCTATGCCCTCCACACCACTACATTTATGTCCCTGTGGGGGTGGCGTCTACCCACCTCCGACTTCGCCTGTCTCTGCTACTCTCTCACCCGATTCGCTGCTGAGCGACTCTAAGAAGAGAGTTCAGTCAAAGGCAGTCAAAAGGGCGAAGGGGCGAGTGTCTTGGTGCTATTGAGGCACACGCATACAAACACCCCAATTGTCGATCTCTATATATAATGTACTTGCAATCAAGATTCAGCGCGTCAGACGTGCCGATTCATCCAGCAAGCACATGGAAGCAACCTTTTCCGTGCAAATATCTCTGGCTATGTGCATTCATGCGCCGCCAACAAATAAGGGAACTGCGACTGCAGCAGTTCAAGAAGCAACAGTACGGCGGCTGCAAGACTAGACAACTCAGCAGTATATATATATATATATACATACATACATATATATACACATGCATATACGTATAGCTGTGTATGCCTATACATATACATACACTTTTAATTCAAGAGCCACCAGCCCTTGCACTGCCATGCTCTCTACCGGCTCCGCGATGGCGGCCTCCTCAACAGAGAAGCGAACGCCACCTCTAGCGGTATGCAGGAGCACACACATACTCCATGAAAGCATCTGTGGCAGCAGTAACACTGCCTGCTGCGCCTGCAAACCGTATATGCTCGTACTGCTGCTCCTGCCATTGCTGTTGCTGCTGCTGTGCCGAGGAAAACACCATATGTGTCGTCTGCGCACTGCAGCAGCACCTGAGACTTTGCATGTTTGTGTTAGAGCTGCGCAGCCGTCTGTGCATGAGCGGCAGCTGCAGGAGATGGGATTTTCTGTTGCGCCTTGCTGTCTCAGAGCAGCAGCCACAGCCCCTAGAGACTTTTCCCACACCAGGCAGCTTCCTACTGGAAGAGCCGACGCGGAAAGGGAAGCCTATTTAACGCACTCTTCTCTACGGCTCTCTAGAACAAGGAGCATCCCCCCATGCGACATGTAATTTCAACTGCACAGGAGCTTGGCGGGCAAGGGTAGGGGGGAGCAGTGCGCGTGGTGGTGGGGGAAAAGCAGGAAACAGGAGGCCACCTCGAGCCAAGCCAAGCCGAGCCGAGCCGAGAAGTGCAAAAGGATGAGCAGCAGAAGCAGCAGCAGCACGGCGCTACTGCAGCCACAAGAAATGCTGGAATTCTACTGAAAGCCACGATACCAAGCACCGCTTAAAGGCAGTCTTCCCCCTCGCTCTGGTGGGCAAACCCGTTCCGCCGCAACTTCTCCCTCCCCCCATCTCGCCCCTAATCACTCTCCCCGAAAAGCGCCCTTTGCACTGTACATGTAGCGGCAACAACAAAACTACAGGAGAACTGCTGGGCTCCAGTTCTCCTGGTGCGTTTGGGAGATGGATACGGGTGGCTGCTGCTGGCCCCACACCGCTGCTGCTGAGGGCACTGCCGTTCCTTGCTGCTGCTGCTGCTGCTGCTGCTGCTGCTGCAGCGGGAGCTGGTGGGGAGGTCTCCACGCGTCTGCCTGCCTTGCCCATATCGGTTCCGTGCGATGCTGCGGCTGCTGCAGCTGCTGTGAAAGCTGCTGCTGCTGCTGAGACGGCGGAGGCTGCCAGACGCCGTGCAGCTGATGCTCGCGCTCGAGATGCAAAGGCCAGCACTGGTGGTGATGATGCTGCTGCTGCTGTTCGTGCAGGGGGGGGAGAAGCCCGCTGCTGCCGACGCATGCGGACGGGTGCACAACCTCTCTCTGCTGGAGGGCGTGCAAGAACTGCTCTTCTTGCCGTTGCTGCTGCTCCTGTTTCAGCAGCAGACGCCTCCATCGGTAAACGCACTGCTGAGCTCTGCGCAAAAGATCCTCCGCAACGACGCCGTCGCCGATGCAGCTGCTTCCGTTTACTGCAGCTGCAGGTTCCGAAAGCCGAATGCGCGTGGCCAGCTCCTGCACGATCGCGATTGCCGTGATGAGTTCGTCCCTGCAAGACACAGCAGTAGCGAACACGAATGCGACAAAGAGGGCTGGCTGGACGGCTAGCAGTCAAATTCCTGCGAGAAAAACCTCAAGAGACACGCACAAGCGCCTAAAAAGACACCCTCAACATCTTACTTGATTTCCCAGTCCGAATTAGGATGCGCATCGGAGGCCCCTGTATCACCAATCTGGCGCATATTATGTAGATGTTGCTGCTTGAGCTGCGCCTCTCCTGTCGCCGACGACGGGCGATGCTGCTGCTGCTGCTGATGCTGCTGCTGATGCTGCTGCTGCTGATGCTGCTGCTCCAAAGGAGGCCCTACTGGAGCAGCATTCTCCGCAATGCGCCCAGCCAGGGGAGTTGCCCCCTCTGCAGGAACTTCCCCGTCTGCTGCTGCCGCGGAGGTGGCGAATGCGTCTGCTGCTGCTGCTGCTGCTGCTGCCGCTGCTGCACTGCTGTTGAAAGTGAGCCGACCTCGATCGGAAGCAGCAACAGCAACTGCAGCGTCTTCGTCTCCTCCATCGTGCAAGCCACTGGACGCACAACCTTCTCCCAAATACGAGTCAAAGAGAAAGTCTGCTGCTGTTGCAGCTGCAGCCGGCAAGCCTGCAGCAGAAATAAGAGCCGATGCGGCACTTTCGTTAGAAATGGGGGGGGGGCTGCTGAGTCCAGGAGGTACACGCAAAGGCTGCTGCTGTTGTTGCATTTGCTGTTGTTGCAGTTGCTGTTGTTGCAGTTGCTGTTGCTGTTGTTGCTGCTGTTGGTGCTGCCGCAGCTGCAGCTGCTCAATTTCCTCGACCGTAACAACATTCCTACTGGCGAGGCTCGCGGCGTTGCAGCAAGTGCTGCTGCTGCTGCTGCTGTTGCTGTTGCTGGTGCCACTGCAGCTGCTGCTGCTGCTGTTGTTGTTGCTGTTGCTGTTGCTGTTGCCACTGCAGCAGCTGCTGCTGCTGCTGTTGTTGCTGGATCGAACGTATGCGGCATCGTTAAAGCCCGTTCCCAGAAGGGGCGAGAAGAAAGGGATGTATGCATTTCCGTTGGTGATCCTTTTTTGTTCTACCGCCGTTACGGACGTCGCTGTTGTTGCGGCTGCAGAAATCATGCCCTCTGCCGCAGGCTGAGAGGCCCCTTCTGCCTCGCTTGCCAATTGCTGCTGCTGCTGCTCCTGCTGATGATGCAGCGCAGAGAGCATAAGCCCGCGCAGCTCTCCAGCCGTGACTGGTGGACGTTGCTGCTGCTGCTGCTGCATCACATCGGAGAAGCTTACTCCCAGACAGCAACAGAATTCCTCCAGCAAGAGACAGGGAACCTCAGGCTTCCTCACGGCAGCTATGGCAGGCGCTGCTGCTGCTGCTCCACCTCCTCCTCCTGCGGATGCAAATCCGTGAGATGGACGCTGGGCTGCACAGCGCTGCAGAAAAACTTTTACTGCAGGATCTGCCGTGAGCATAAAGACAAGCCCCTCCCCAGACTTGGCGTCTCCCTCCTTGCTGCTCGTGCAATTGCTGCTATTGCCATGGATCCTGCCCAAGCAAACCTCCTCCAAGTGGCTCTTCCAAAGGAGGGCAAAGTCTAGCGTCTTCAGAGTGTCGACGCTCAGCTGGAGGGCCTTGCCTAAAGATACATCCTGGGGTGTCAGCAGCGAGTATTGCTGCTGCTGCTGCTTTTGCTGGTGCTTCTGCTGAGGAAGCTTGGACTGCTTCTTAGCCGCCTCAACATACTCGATGATTTGGAAGTCGCTCGCCAGCTCCTGTAGGTCTTGCAGCGCGTCTTGCTGCTGCTGCTGCTGCTGCTGCAGGCGAGCTACCTCCCGTTCCACATGGTCGATAATCAGGAAAATCGAGATATCGCTATCTGACAGCGTGTGCTTTGAAAGTGCTCCTCCCACTGCTGCACGCGGAGGAACGAGCCCCCTGCAAGCCAACAGGCCTGCGCTGCAGAGACGTCGCAAACCTGCGAGGCTTGCTGGGCAAGTGCTTTCGCTCTGCTGCAAACACACCAGAGTCAGCATCCACAATAATATCAGCAGAAGGAGATGCAGCCGCAGCAGCAGTTGATGCGCCCCTACATGTGCAAAAAGAAATAGCACAAATAAGGCTCGCACGCAAAAAAACAGCAGCAGAAAAGTACAACCCAACACAACGCAGGCGGGGGTCCCAACACAAGCGTACAGACACCGCAGACACAGTTCGACACGCGAAAAACAGCAAAAACGTCGCGCATGACTACCATTCATGGAGGCCAACACCACACATCTAAACACGCTGGTTGGCATATATATATATATATGTATGTATATATGCATATATGCATACATGCCAACCAGCTGGAAGAATGCTCTGCCTGCCTGCCGCTACGGGAAGTAAAGCGGAAGAAGCTGGAGGGTTCCCGACCGATGAAGACTGACACGCTAAGTCCATTGAAAAAGGAGGAGGAAAAGAAAGCGACGATTGAAGTGCAATTTACTCGCTCTGTGCGGGGGAAAAGGTTTGAAGGGAGTGTGCCGCCAGAGACAGAAACCGAGGAAAAGGCAAAACAGACAGTTCTCCCCTGCCTCTCCTCTCCTGCCCCTCCTCGACGAGGCTAAAGGCCATCACGGGATCAGCAGCGGAAAACCTCAAGCACGCAAGATCGATACAAAGCAGAAAAAGCGAAAGAGAGAGCAAGCTCATGACAGGAATCAAGCCTCCATCATCTGACCTGGGGGTGACCAGCGCACTTTCCATGCTTCATCTGGATGACAGCTGAAGCATCCAGCAAGATGTAGAGAGGCAAACTCTTGAACAAATCGGCACACGTTGCTTCTGTCCTTGTTGGGCCTGACAAAGCCGTTGCAGCTGCATTAACTGCATCCTCGACGACAGCAGCTGCGGCTGCTGCCGTCGCCACTGCTCCTGAGGAAACACAGAGCTCAGGAGTCTCCAGCGACACAGACACTGCCGAAGAAGAACCGCCTCCTCCTCCAGGAGACCTCCTTGCATCGCTACAAGAGACGCGGCGGGAAGAAGCAGCAGCTGCGGCTGCTGCTGAGCTGCCAACAGTTTCACTGGCTCCGACAGGCGCTGCTGCTGGTGCTGCACTCGTGGCAGCAGACTTTTCACTGAGTGTCTGCGGAGCTGCTGCTTGTGCTGCTGCTGCTGCATGCTTCCCTGCGGGGGGTGTTGCTGCTGCTGCAGCTTTTGCGGCAGCAGCGGCAGGTGCACTCGCCGCTGCTGCATAAGAAATACGACCACTTCCCACGCGCTTTTCTCCTGAAGTCGGTGCAGCAGCTCCAGAAGCCGCTGCTGCAGCAGGGGTTGCTGCTGCTACCATTCGAGCTGGCATGCGCGCTCCAGAAGCAGCAGCAGCTGCTGCCGCAGTACACGTAACTGTAGCGGATTCAGCGGAAGAAACGGCTGCTGATCCTCTTCTGCGAGCAGTTGCGTTAGCCTGCGCTGCTGGCTGCTGCTGCTGCTGCTGCTGTTGCTGCTGTTGCTGCTGTCGACTGCTGTTGCTGTTATTACTGCTGCTGCTGCTGCTGGCCGCTCTGCTGCCTCGCTGCTGCTTTGCGTTATGATCATCTGAAGAGCGACGCGAGGAGGTCGCTGCTGCTGCTGCTGCTGCTGCTGCTGCTTTGGATTTAAAGCTCACCGCCGCTGCTCCTCCTGCTGCTCCTCCTGCTGCTGGTGCTGCGGTTGCGGCTCTGCCTTCGCCACCACCACTACCACCACCACCACCACCACCACCACCACCACCACCAGCGGCGGTGGTGGTGGTGGTAGTCGTATTAGTATTATCTTCAGCAGTCCCGCCGCCTTTGGAGGGCAGGGAAGCTGAGGTCGTCTGCTGCAACAAACGGCAGAAAAAGACAGAGGTTTCGCTCGCTTGCACACTCGTATCCCTCTCTCCCTCTGGCTTCCTCGCTCGCTCGCTCGCACCAGAAGCAGCTCAGACACAGGACGAGACACGCATCTCACAGAAACTCTAACTAGACTTTGAAGCAAGCCACGTACTGCTCCGGAGGATGTGCTGCCAGCCGCTGAAGCACGCATAGAGGCCCCACGTCGATTATCTGTGAGAGCTTGGTGAGCGAACATATACATGTGAAGCTGCAAACGCAACGTAAACCGCCGACCATCCATCAGAGGCAGTCTGTCTCTGCTTTTTTGCGCGAGAGGACGACCTCTCCCCTGCTTTCAGCCCGCGAGAAAAGGCGCTTAACAAGTGCAAGACACAGAACGGCAGCCACTCTGCTTCGAGGCAGCAACAGGGGGGCTTACCACGGGGGTGGCTGCATGCGCAGCCGTTCTCCAGCAACGCGCAGGTGTGCAATGTTGCTGCTGCTGCATCTTATCAGCAAAACAAATAGCAGCCGCTGCACCTCTTTTTTGCTTCGCAGTAGAGCTCCACTGCCGGGCTAGATCTGGAGGCAAACGCATCCCCCAACACACATACAAACGCATACAAACACACACAACACACCAACAGCACATGCAACCAACAACAAGGGATTGTGGCAGAAGCAAGTGCAACGTTCTACACCCAACACACCAACAGCACATGCGACCAACAACAAGGGATTGTGGCAGAAGCAAGTGCAACGTTCTACACCCAACACACCAACAGCACATGCCCCTCAAGCGCAGCTGCTCCATACATATGTCTGCGCCACCCTTTAGCTGCACAAGCGACAGCAGGAAGGATTTAGTAGCAAACGTTTTTGCAAATGGCGCTGCAGACGCAGTGGCGGAAGAAGAAACGTACTCAACGGGTCTGTAATGGTGTTGTACTCCATCCTTAGCCACAGAGGAACATAGGCTTTTCGTCTTGCATCCATTCGCGGATACACGTGCTGACCTCCCTCCTGCTCCTGAGCAGAAGCTACGGCGTCGAGCACAAGTACTGCACCGCTGTTTGAGATGTCGCAGTGTGAAAGATGCAGCTCTTCGAGGAGGAGACAGCCAGCTGCCGCAGTCTTGCTGATGTAGCCAGCCACAGCTGCGGCTCCCGCATTGCCGATTGCATTCTTATACAGCTTCAACTTGCTTACGCGCATGTAGTGACAGTGCGTCGTTAGGAAAGACAACAGCGTCGAAACACCCGAGCCGCTCAGACTGTTATCCGCCAGATCCAGGGAAAAGACAACAATAGCAGGCAGCCGGCTGCCACTGCTGTTGTTGCTGCTGTTGTTGCTGCTGTTGTTGCTGTTGCCGCCACTCGTGCTGCTAGCAGGCCGATTGTGCTGCTGCATGCAAAGGGTCAACCATTGAACAAATTCATCGACATCAGAGTCTCGAAGACCCCTGCGCTGCAAGGCTACATGAATATTTACCATTTGCTGCTGCGGCTGTTGCGTTTCTCCTCGTGTGCAGCTGCTTCTCCCCCCTGTGCTGCACCGTTCCATGCGCAAATACGGGGAGAAACTGCTGCTGTGAGGGAAAAGCAAGGAAACACTGGTGTTGTTGTTGCTGTTGCTGTTACTGCTGCTGCTGCTGCTGCTACTGCTGCTGCTGCTAGGCGGGGGGAGGGTCCCTCCGCGAGGGGCGTTGTCGCTCCTAGGCCGCATGTTCGACACTGACTGACTGGCGTAGGGGGGGAGGGGCACAGCACATGCTTTCGTTGCATCAGCTACTGCGGCTGGGATCGGAATGCCGCCGCTGTGCTGCAGTGGTAGCAGCAGCAGCGGCAAAACTGTCGCCGTAGACCAGAGAAAGAGGCAAGCTCCAGCGTGCCAGAACCAGAATACTTAGAGCCAATAACGCATGCAACACGGCTGCTGCCCCTGCGAGCCGAACCGCCGAGCTCCAAGCAGCGCTGCAACTGCTCCTGCTACTGGAAAACAACAAGGTTGCAGACAGCAGCAGCGGAGAGGGAGCTAGTAATGGATCAGCTGCAAATGCTAACAGCAACAACAGAGACCTCGTGGTGCTCGCCTTGCCCTCTGCTGCCGCCGCTGTAACGACAACCGGGATGCTGCTGCTGCTCTTGGGCGTAATTGTAGGCCACCACAATTTCTTTTTCCGGGTGCTCATCTAAATAATAAGGAGACGTTTTAACTGTAGCACCGACTGCCCTTGTTGCTGAAGCTGCTGCCGTTGCTAGTGCAGCACGGGGCTCTTTTGCTGTTGCCGTTGCAGCTGCTGCTTTTCTTCGGCAGCTGCAGCACAGCGGTTACTCAAAAGTCGCAGACAGCCAAAATATTAAAGAACAGGGGCATATTTTTAGCGGTTGTTGTAAAAAAGTAAGGCTTAAACCTCAAGGCCTAAAGTTTAAGCAGTCTCAGCCGCCTTTGCGCCCTGCAGCATGGACCCCCTAATCGGTCTGAGGAGGCCATAGCCAACTCTTTTTCATGCATCCAAAGCTTTTGGCTACCCTTATTACAAGACCCTTCGGCTTTAATTCGTATCTGATCCTTGCTAAGCATACACGTAGTAGGCGTCGTGTAGTAATACTATCGTTCTTCTAGTGCGTAGCGGTGGAACTGGTGTTGGTAGACATGCTGAAGAACCTTCATGACCAAGCTCCCCTAGGGGCATCTTGCTTGACTATGGTGCACTCTGGTAGATTCAACCAGTCTGTACTATGATGTTCCCTCTTTTGCGAAGAACATCTAGCGCAACTATATTACAAACAGCTAGGGTGTGGGCCTTACTCCAAAGCTTTGGATGCTGCAACACTCTTCCCGGGATCACTCTGTAGCAACCCTATATCCTAAACCAGCATAAAATTTCAAGATACACTCTAAAACGTTTCTTTACAAGATTGCGTTCTCGCCGTCACCCCACAGGGTTGTGGCCTGTGAGTAGGAAGGACAGCCAAGGTCCAAGTCCTACGGCTAAAGCTACATGCAAGCACTGTCTACTTCACTTGTAGCATACACAAAAGAACCGTAAAACTTAATTAGGAGTTTGTTTCCTCATCCATGTTATTTACTGCAGAGTAAGATTGGCTGACGCAATTTGTATGCGTCTACGCTAGGCGCTATGCGTAACCAGCTGTGAAGGCTCGAAGTGAATACAGGGTGTAGTTCCGTACACCCTAGCTGTCCTGTTCCTTAATTGTTGGACACTGACTGCCGCGGTCAGGGGAAGAAGCTACCTCATTACAACACACTACATAACAGCTTTATGTTTAGTAGATGCTGAGCGTCGATACAAGTCCCTCCCTTAACAGATCTTAGATAAAGCCTTACAGTTGGTAGCACAGCATGGTCCATGTCTCCCCTCATTCTCTGGATTTGGATGCAGTGGTCTACCAAGCTTTCTTACAACTGGTCTTGATGTCATTTGTTAATTCGATAATTCGATTTGCTCTAGAAACAACATGCGATTTTACAAAAGCTCGGGCCATGAAAGGTGACGGTGCTACAACGCCTGTTGGGGCGGCACAAGCCGGCATGCACGCTGGCGTAAACTCAGTAACTCCACAGCTAATGAAAAGGCGTGATTCGTCAGCCGACAAAATGCTTATGGGTGCGCTGCTGGCTTTATGCCGAGTAGAATCGTATGACAGCCATAAGGATGGAGAGCTGCTTGAGGAGTTCATTGGCAGATCCGACATTTGTCTTGCTTTGTTTACACCCCAGATGAAAGGAAACGATTGCTATCTGAGGCTGGTTTTTTGGGGAAAAGCGCTTTGCTGCTGGCTCTCTATATATGTAGAGGAAGGTGTCTGCTCGCAAGGATTACTACAGTCGTCGGACGCTGAAAAGCTCCTCCAGTAGCGGTCAACCTGGGATTTGCCCCAAGTGTCTTGCGAGGTAGAAAAAGGCTGGCCAGTCACTCGGTTGTTCAAGGAGTCGGTCGGTGGGACTCCCACAGAAGCTCGACTACTTCAGACCTCAGAAGCAAGTGAGGGCACCGCCTGTACGCTTGGCTGAGACGAAAAAGGCAAGTCGAGACATTGACCAATACATACCGACATTGTGTCAACAAGCCCTAGCCTACAGTACAAGGCGAGCTAGAAGGAAAACCAGAGACACCGGTGTTCCCAACTAACCCTTGCAGACCCCAACAACCCATCTCCTACTAGTATTGGGAATTGGGTTGTGTAGT